TTCAGCTCACTTTCCCCTGGTTTTTCAGGATCTTCTGTGCCTAATCTGGAGCCAGGCGTTTCTGTGGCCTATGACATTTCACTAGAGAGATGGGCATCTGGACTGCCTGCAGACTGATACCTAGAAACATGGCCCCATTTCTTTACGTAGCGCCATCCCAAAATCCAGAAAGATGGCCCGTCTGCTTTGTCAATAATGAAATACATTTGTTGCTCAGCACAGAAAAACATTCTGCATTTTGTTCCTGCAGAAATACCTCTGGATTTCTTCTGAGCAGCCTTTACCATTCCCTGGGTGTGCCCCTTCTTGTCTGGTGAATATACCCTCTGGCGGGCGCTCCCTGGCTATGTCCTTACAATTCATGTAGACTTATGGAAAACCTAGCAAATACATTTCAAATGTTGTGAAACACATTTGCAAAAGTTAATCTTGGTTAGTTTTGTAGCTCAGCATATGCAAACCCTGCAGGATAAGCTTACCAAAGTGCAAAACCAGGAAGCAGATTAATTCAGTAACCAAGTTTAGCTTAATGTGTGAACACAGCCATTGTGTCCTGTTAAAGGCAGCTAATGGCCAGCATTCTGCTGAACTAGGAATCATATTGCTAAAAGCAGCACCAGAAAGCAAGGTGATATCTTATTAGCTACTTCACACATGCTAGACTAGGTAAAAATGGGACTGGATAGTTTGGTGGTTCAGTATGTTGTGTGAACCAGGCCATCATGTTAAACCATAAACCCTCAGCCCAGCATAAAACAAGGGAGCAATGAGGAAGATGCCCCTTAACTGGCTGAAATTGATGGGAGATTTTCTGTTGCTTTTTAAAGACAGAGCCAGAAATAAGTTGACAAAAGTTAAGACTTGCCCACCCACAAGCTTGGGAAGGGTTGGGAGGTGATTCTAGCTGCAATCCAGGATGGCATCACAGCTGGTACCTTCAGTAAAGAGACAAGCAAAACTGCACGGACAAGGACAATCAAAAGCAGCTAGGAAGACGCCAGTCTTGCTCCTCTGGCTTAAAAGGGGCAGGTCCTCTGTGGGACAACCATGAACATTCAACTGCAGACTGGGGCTAATTCATTCTTCCTGCAGAAGAAAGCCTCATTGAGGGCCAAGGTCTCTATTTTTAAGCCCCAACTTAAAATAAACAAAAATTAGCGAAGCTTCCTTTCTGCAAGAACACTGTAAATAGGACTTTGGTGGCAGGGAGAAGATGAAGAAAGGTTTATATGAGTCCTGTTACTTTAATTCTATGGCATTTAAAGCCTTATTAAACGCTCACTGTAATTCCATTTTTAAAAATGTGCAGCACTTGTTTGAGATGTCCCCTCCAACTTTTACTCTGACACTTGCTCCGTATCTTGGGGAACCATTGTATTCGGGCCTGAGCTTTTGGGAGTCCTAAGAAGTCTTTTTATTACTGGAAATTCGTCATCACACCCAAGACCCACTCCTCAATGTCTGACCATCAAGGAAAAAAGGACAGACAATACTCCAGCTCGTCACTGCATTCCCTCCCCAAAACACAGTCCGAAAAGGAGGTATAAACACAGAGGCAAAGACATTTCATTTCAAAACTGGGAATGGCTTTTCAATCCCACCCACTAGCTTTATTCACACAAACGTTTAATTTACAAAGCTGCTGTCATTCATACACAATCAGGATTTCCACAGTGTTCCAAGAATTTAAATACAATGTCGCACACCAACCCAAGTAAACCAAAAAGTTAAAACAATAAAATAGATTTATTCACACACAGGTCCTAGATTTACCAGCTTCTGTGCAAAGAAAGGGGAACAGACTTCTCTAAGACCAGCACTGGAAACTGCACCTTGAAGTCTGGGATTTAAGATGTTCCCTCTGGACACTCCAATTTTTTTCCCGGGATTTTACGTCCATATCTGCAGTGGGCCCTGTTTGCACCTGGACCCTGTGGAAAAGACAGGTGGGCTTTGCCGCCCCCCAGGGGCATCTGTGGGAGAAGGGATTAAAAAAAAAAAACCAAGATGGCAGCCATAACCACATGGTTGCCATATGGACTATTTTGACCTTCCATAATTGCCCTTCAATGCCTGCTCTTCCGGACCAAGCTTCACCCAGATTCCTCAACCGAATGGACCTCCAGGTGTGCTGGAACTATAATTTCCAGATATTCCTACCAGCTTGGAGGAATCCAGAAATTACAGTCCCATCCTTTCTGGAGGCCTCTCAGGTCAGGGAAGGCTGTGGTCCATGGAAAAGCAGCAGAAGAAATGAAAGAGGATGACTGTTGGGCAGAGATCTTGAAGCTGATTTTTCCCATGTGGAAGAAATTCTGTAAGAGGAAGACCCACAGTCTTCAACTCAACATAAGCCGAATGTGGCAGAAAGGACTGATCTTTGATGCCTCCTGTACAGTGTCCCTTCAACATGGGGGCCACACAATCCTGGAAGCAAACACACCGAGACAGGCACACAGCATCTATTCAACCGCAAGGGGTGAGGTAGCTTTTCCATCATGCTTATCAAAGACAGGTGTTCCAGGAATTAATGTCTGATTAGAAAAAAAAAAGAATCCAGACATCAACTTCAGACAGCTCTTTGCAACAGTCATTTAATTCCATGCAGGTTGAGAGCTGCTGCTTGCATCAGGACGCCCCAAAGATTTCACCCTGAGGGATTGAGCAACGCTCCTGGGAGAAACGGTGCCACACCCTCAAAAGGCTGGCTCTCAGAGGTCTGTCCGAGTCATCCTCTCTCATTTAGGGACCTTGGGTTCACGGTGCTAAAACGTATAGTGACAGATGCCACAAGGGAGAGGATCTAGCAGCTGTTCACCAACCAGCCCCAAGAAAAACAGGGGCTGGTTAGAAGTCTACCTTTGAAGGAGAAATCCCAGCCCACAACGCTACAAATGGCCGCCCTTCAGCCGCTTGGTCGGAGGAAAAACAGATCCGCCCCCTTTCTGACAGCAGGTTTGATTCCACCACTTCCTTGGCTTAGTAAGCGCCACCAGGCAATTTAGCAGACTTAAATCCAGACTACAGCACTGCATACGGCCAGATGGTGTAATATGTTGAAAGAGGACAGTGACACGAGGTTCAAATTGTGATCTCTCTCTCACACACAACAAAGGTTATTGCTCTATAAAAGGACTCTGGCAGTGTTTTGAGACATCTCAGAGGCACAGGGTGGGACCCTGAGGGAGCAAAAGCATTAGGGGAAGAAAGGAAGACAGTGAGGCTCTTCAGCACAACAGGAGGAGGAGGGAGGGGGAATCCCAAGGACTGAATCCCAACCCCTTCTGTATGGCTCAGGGATACTGAAGGTGCCGCCTAGGAAGAGACCATCTTGCAGAGAGATGGGGTGGGGTGCCTGGACACCCCAGGCAATTTCTTCTGCCCTCCTGCTGGTGATCTCCAGGTCCTGGCTATGCTTCCAGTTCCTAATGGCAATTCAACCATTGTGATTCTTTTCTAGTTGACTTGGACACACTTGATCTTGGCCAACCGCAACGATGGTTGATGGCCAGTCTCCCCTCCACTACAGGTCTAAGGCTACTGTCACCCCTCTGGAATGACATCCATTGGTACCAAGCTATCCAGCTGCCCCTATGCTGGTGGGAAGGAATGGACCTACAGCCAGAAATTTCATGCGTTGGGTCTGTCGAGAATATTATCCTGATACTGATACACAACCGTACCAAGAAGTTAAGCCTGGAGCTCTTTTGCCTTCTGGCCTAGAGTCTGCCTCAAAGCCAAATGTAAGTTCAAACTTGGTTTCTCAATGATACAGAACTACACATGTGTAGACTCCTCCTTTTTCTTCTTTTGCCAAATTCAGAATCAAATGAACTGTTTGCAACATGTAGAAGGAAATAGGAAGATATTGCTGGATGTACAAAGAGGGGGAAAAGGTTGATGGAACGTGGGGTATGCTTAGAGAAGCTAGCAAGCTGCCAGCTTTGTTGCTAGGTTCTCCCATCCTTGCGATGAAAACTAGGGATCAAGTCGTGGGGAAAGGAGATGGGGAGAAAAGGCTCTGAATGGGCTGGAGCCAAGCACAAATCTCACTTAGTCCTTTCACTCATAAAGACCCACACCACCAACTGTAAACAGCAAACTTAGATGTAAACAGCTTAATATAAAGGCATAGCCAATACTCAAGAAAAACACCAATCAACCCCAAAATAACTTATTTTATGTCAGTGAGATTTGATATTTCTCAATAATAAATTAGCAATGTCCATTCAAAATGCATTTAACTAGTGACTGGGGAGACTTCTGCGGGAAGACATTCCCATATGAACTCCAGCCATCGTATCTGAAATCCAGCAGGCACCAGAAGCCTCAGACCGAACACGTTCCTATTGCTTGTAGCACGATACATTCACATCCATAACTTAAAGAAAGACAACACCCAAACATAGGGACTGCTGGTCAGGCAGAGAATCTCCTCCTTAGGCATGAGTGTAAAGGTTCCCTGAAGGACACACTACACTGCTTTCCTGCTCAGATGCAGCTACCCTCTAAAAATGTGTTGGCAACTGATACAGCCAACTCAAAAAGTATTTATAACGTTTCTAAAGAGCTTCTGTGGGCAACCAAGAAAACTAATGCAGACAAGAGTCTGCAAAGTGGAAACTACCCTTGGAACTACACTGAAGCACAACTCCCTCAAAGAGCTCTTTCCTTAGCTTAATGTACTTCTCGCAAGAGTCCTTCAAATCCTTCAGTAAGGCACTATGGTCTAAGCCAGTGTTTATCAACCCTGGCAACTATAAGACATATGAACTTCAACTCCCAGAATTCTCCAGCCCACGGGCTGGCTGGGGATTTCTGGGGGGTTGAGTGCACATTTCTTAAAATTTGCCAGGCTGGGGAACACCG